ATACATATATATATATATATATATATATATATTCAAATTTAGGCATTAAATACCATATAAGGTAGTGTAAAACCCCTCCATCCATAGTTCGTCCTCACGCTACATATAGTATATAAATGCTCCTCTTAAAATTGTAAAATTCCGCGGCTTTATTGGCCTTCAAACCCCAATGCGTTGCCCGCCACCACTGTCCGGGCCGTACGGTACCGCAGGCGCTGGCCCCGGGGGCGGCGGCGGCGGCTCTTTCCATCCCTCAACCTTCCTTCAAAACGCTAATTTTCAATTCCCCGCCAGCATCCAGCTCTTTCCGCAGCCTCCGAACTTTCCTCACGGTGGCTTTCAAAACCCTAGGGCAGTCCAGCCGCAGAATGCCATCTTTGGGAACGCTGGTTTCCAGGCGGCACCGCCTTTTTCGATCCCTTCCGTCAAGCTCGAAACGATTGAGAGCGAGGCTGTGAAAGTGCACCGGGACCTTGTTGCCACCGGAGAGGACGTCTCAGCGTTGAAGGTTTCCCAGCGTGTAGTCGTTGCGCTCAAGGTGGGTTCATGGAGCTCTTTAGGGTTTCGTCTCCAAGACGTCCCTACTCTTCAACGCCTTCTTGATAATGAAGGAAAGGTTATTCTCGCTTCCTCGGACTACGATGGTTGTTTTGTCAATGAATTTGCCCTAGTGATCAGAGCAAAGTCATCCGTAACTCATTCTAAATTACTTTTATATTGAAAAAATACATTTTTTTTTATTTCTTTGTACTCACTCCAACGATGGTGGAGAACCTGTTTGAGTTGATGTTTAATGAAGGCTATTTGTCCAATTTGTAATGTTGTCGATGATTTTTCTCAGATTTTTTCGTTTGTATTAAACTGTAATTAATCATTTTGTAGGCTAGTGCATTGATTCACTGCTTTGTCTGTGCCCGGAAAATTGCATCATTGTATGAATTGGAGTTATTTCTCTGCCATAATATGAGTATTAAGCGGTTTGAAGAGCTTGGTCTCGGGCCTTTCCTCCGTCAACCACTTATCAAGCATTACTTCGCTGTTCCATCAGTCGCGACCGAAGTTTTTAAAATAACCAGCGAGGAAATTATTCTCTCTTTACAAGAATTCATTACCAAATCCAAGGATCGGATTTCTGCAGATAAGTTTCGTATGTTTCTCGCAGAGCAGAAATCTGTGCCATCCAAGGATTTACTTGGTGTAAGGATTCAGAATATAGGGTATGCATTAATCATTCGCACTAATTACTTTATATAACAGCAGAGTTTATATTTTTGATTGGTTTTCATTTTATGGCCTTATTTTTTTGGCACATTTGCATTGTATATATAGAGGCATGGATATGGACTTGATTCATTATGCACTCATAAGCTGTCTTTAATACATCCTCTTTTAACTGATTTGTGCATGGTACAAGGATTTTATTTATGGAAAATTACACACACTACACAATTCTTGTGTATTTACATATCTAACGCCCAGAGTGTGATATTTACACTTATATCACCTTCGTGCCATAAACCTATGCATGAAAAGGTGTATTTCACTTAAAAAGGTTGTGATTGGTATTTTTGATGACATGTTAAAGATTTGACTTGTATGCATGTAAAAATGAATGTTTAGGTGTTAGATATGTAAATACATAAGAATTATGTGGTATGTATGTAATGTGAATGTCCTATGTAGAAATTTTGTAGGATCCTTTTGCAGTGCTGTCACAGTGGTGCGTACTAGAAGTTCTTAAAGTAACGAAAAATCATGATAATCTATGTTTTTTGGTGATGCATAATTTCTGTTTTGTCTAGTGTTTTTTGTTATATCTTTTTTTTGATAGATTTATTTCTTTGAGTTTTGAAATAAAAATTCTAATGTTGTTCAAGTTGAGAAAGCAACTTGATTTCTTATCAAAAGTGGCTATTGCTAAGTTGCTGAGCTAGAATGTTGCCATGATTTCCCATGTAATTTGCTACTTGAAAGTTGTATTTATAGGTTCTACATAAATCATATCCGAGAGGCAAATAAAGCAGAAGAAACTCTTCTTAGAAAGAAACTATATAGATCTGGACCTGGGGATGGTAACAATGAAATTGTTGGAAAAATGTGTGGCTCTAAACTTCGTCACATTGCTGCTAAGAAAAAAAAAAGTGGCTTGCACTTCGACTATATATCCAACCGTGTCAAAGCATTCTCTTCTACATGGAAGGATTCTAGCAACGAGCATGTCTATTTTCTTTCCTCCTCGTCTGATGATGATGATGATGACTCAAAGGTTGATAATGTTGTTGATGTTGAAGATGATGAAGAAGGTAAAACAACAAAGGATTGTGGCCAGCTTGTGAGTAGCTGTCCATACCCATCAAATTCTGAAGAAATGGCACGGCTGGGGTTGAAGCCTGTAGAAAGTTATAAAACACCACCGGGCATTGGTCATGTTAATAATAAAGAGAACATGAAATTGTTTGAAAAGAAACGAAAACATGAAAATAATAATAGCGCAAGTTCATCCTGCAAATTTCTGAAAACTGTGAAAGTTGTTGACTTAGAGGACGAGGGTCGGATGTGCGGTCTTACACTTAGTAATGGTGAAGTAGAGAAGTTTGTGGCAACATGGAAAGTAGCTTGTCAGAAACATTCGCTAGCTGAGGTATAACATTCCTATTCATGCTTAATTTTCTTATTTATTTGGTATTTTAGTCTATTGCTCCTAAATATTTGTTTCTAAGATCAATTTTGACTTCAATATGAACTTTTTTCTTTAGCTAATCCTCTTGTTGGACATGCTTGTGTATCTATTTTATCGTGAAATCTAAGCCGCTTTCTTCTTTGCCCATTTATTTTTAAATAATTTGCAGGTTCTTGATATGATGTTGAGCTTCTACGTGGGAAAACCTAAGCGAAGAAAGAAAATTAAAAAGATTGTTTCATCTCATCCAATCATTGGGTGGTTCAATGTTGCAGTGAGTTTTCTTTTCAATTTTTGAAGTGCATGATTGTTTGTCTAGTTAATTATTGTTTTTGCATTTATTAAAAAAATAATTGTTCAATGTTTTTATTTATATTTTTTCAAACAAATCAACTTATTTTTAAAAATATTTAAAAATAACTGTTAGGTGTTTTGAGTATTTTTAAAAACAATTACCATTGTTGTTAGCTTGTTAGTTGTTGACCGCCATTGGCTGTCGTTGTTCGCCATTGACTGCCACTCACTTCCACTGTTGTTTGATAGCCAAATGTGGGAGGTGGTAAATTTTGTTAAATCCCCCTCATAGTCACTCCCCTTCAACATGTTTTGTTTTGACATTATCAAATTTCTTATATTTCAAATTAAAATATAAACAAAACAAAATAAAAAAAAAACTAGAAACCAAAAATACAAATATTACTCCTAATGCTCCCCTAAAATTTTCATGTTATAAATTATGTTAACTTACAACTTATTTATAAATCAAATTAACCTTACAATAAACTTTTATCTCAACTAACCTTTTATATTTTCTTCATATAAGCTTTAGGGTCTCTTTGGGGCAATTGCAGTTTATTGAAAAACTGCTGCGCAACAGATGTGCCGGGAAGCTGCTGCGGGGAAACTCTGTGTGTTTGTTTTGTGCAGTTGTGCAACAACTGTTTATGTTAAAAAAACCTTTGTGTCCCTGTATTTTTTGTGTTGTTTATAACAAAATCAGTTCTGGTTGCACGTTTCATAGATAAAAATAGAAATTCAGTTTGAATAATACATAATAAAGTTTGACACCTAACTAAACTGTGAGTAACACAACAACCAAAATTAAATATAAAAATAGTAAAATAACAATTAATATTATCATAATGTTGAATTTAAAATGCGGACGATCAATTTCACGAGATAATCTCCTCTCCAACGAAAGTCTCCACTCCTGATCTCTATCGGAGGCGGAATCATCGAACCGATCCGCCTATCTGAAGAAGTTACACTTCTCTGTCTATTCCTTGGAAAACTGTAAAATTATCTCTTATAATTATGCTTCTGTTGCGAGGTAAACATAGAACACTATAGTCCACGGTAACAATACATTATTTTGGAGGCACTGAAATACCTTGAGCTCATTTTTTTTTCTGAAGGTTCAGAACCACAAAATACATACACTTAGGTGCAATATTAGTAAAAAAATAATAGAAATACACAATTACGCTTTATAAAATTGTGAGATATCAGAGCACAAAATATGAACCAACGAATAGTCTGTCACTACAAGAAGATGGTAGACAATAAAAAAAGGTTTTTGGTTGCCTGTAAAACACATAAAACTGAGCTTGTATGTGTCACGAAACCATATTTACACAAAAACCATCCAGAAGAACACCAATAGTCATATGACTGAAAAAAAAGGGGATCTTGGTTGCCTTTAAACATGTAATATGGAGCTCGTTTGCGTAACAAAATCATGTCATCACAAAGACTATTCAGAACAACCTTTAAGGTCATTTTTGTCATCATAAACCTTAAAACTAAAAAGAACATGCAAGAAAAAAGTTATATTAAACCCACGGTTGCCTAGAAGCCATCCATATGAGTAAATATATATGTAGTAAAAAATGGAAAAAGTAATTTGCACATAATCAAAATTTTACATAAAGATCATTGCATATAACAACATTACAATAATCAATAATTATTCTTGCAACTTTTTAGACAGATAAAGAAAATACGTCATACAAAATTCTATCACCATTAACTATTGCATTTGTAATTTGTTCTCTAAACTCCATCATCTTCCGAGCCCATGCATGATCATCCGTGGCCATGAATCTACCAAACATACAATCCGACTTTTCTTCAAGCTTAGGATCAATGCCATTGAATTTAAACTTTCTAGCAGTTGTCACGACCTACACACTAATTCATAGTTGATATATTGATAAAATTGAAATTGACAAAAATAAAAGTTGAATTGCCGAAATTTTCATCAATTCTCACCTCCAATATATTAGTTTACCATTCTTCCAAAGCATCGTGGTTCGCTTTATTGGATCTCAACCTATGCCCGTGGATCGTCGCTTTAATTCTTTCCACATTTTTCTGTTTTTTTTATCTGATTCAATTTGTTTTTCAATTGTGCTATAATATTCTCTTTTCGTTTTTTTCTTGAATTTTTTTATAATATTCTTTCATCCTTATTAAAATAGGTGGTCGGTTTGTTTCTCTGTTTCGCCTTTTTAAGTCAGAGATAAAAAAATATTAACTTCATCTCTTTATTCCACATGACTAACAACCTGATTTTTTTTGTTGTACCCATCGCGTCTATTAGCATGAAAAGAACTAAGCAGCATAAATTTGTGGAATACAATAAAAGTTTATCTCATAAAAAAAAAAAAATCATTTAAAATCCCATAGTTGGAAATTTATCAACACACCACCACATAATCACTACCACCCCATCATTACCACCACCACCAACACACCACCACCCAATCACCACCAACACACCACCACCCAATCACCACCAACACACCACCACCACCACCACCACCACCACCCAATCACCACCAACACACCACCACTACCACCACACAATCACCACTACACTACACCACCAGCACATCATTACCACCAACACACTTCGTTACCACCGCCACAGCCAAAATCGGATCACGAATTTCATTAGCCAAGATAAACTCAAACTCAAGTAACATGCATCGTTGACATTGAGAGCATCATTCAAAACCAGCCTAAACACCTCACCAATCTAAATTGACATGTGAAACATACACAACCCAAATGACCCAAATCGTGCACGTGTGGTAGCTCCACTCTTCTACCATTGAAAAGAAATTGCAAAGCTAATTTTTAAAATAACTACAAACCACAAACTGTATAAAGCAAAGACACCCATAACCCTAAACAACAATGGGCAAAGAGCCCATAGCCAACATAAACAGCTCAACTCCAAAACCCTTTCTTCTAGCCATAGATCAAAAAGAGCAAAGAGACCACAAATCAATTTCTCCAAATTTCACAGAATAAACGAGTAAGCATCTTCCAATCCTTCTCTTCCAACCACAAACCACAAAGCAAAGACGCCACATACCTGTTTTTCCAAATTTCACAGAAAAAAGAATCTTCCAAATCTTATTCTTCCAATCACAATCCGTGAAGAGCGAATATACCAAAAATCAAGTTCTCTATAAATTCACAGAAAAAACAAAACATGGTTCTTTCAAATACCGCAGGAGCAAAGAAACCACAAATCACAAACTGAAAAAAAACTAAGCCACAAATCACAAATTGATAAGAGAAAAGGGACCACATACCCCAAACCGCAGCAACATTGCTGCCCAAAATAATGGTTGAAAGTAAGGGTAAAATGTACCGGAGTAGAAGGAGAGCGGAGGAAGTGAATACCGACTATCCCTCTCCAGAGAATGAAGAAAAGCGAGGGAAGAAAATAAAACCTAGGCAGCGTCATTGCTCAAAGGAATAGGCAGAGAGTGGTAGTTAGGTAAATTGTATGAAACGCCGAACGTGAGGGCCTCACAACTTATCGAGATTACACCGCACCTTATTAAAATCGGCCACGTCGTGCTTTCCAAACAAGATAAAGAAGCTTATTCAAAAAGCACCGTAGCAAAAAAGCTGCGCTAACAATCTGAAGTTGTTTCATAAGAGAAAATATGAAAAATGGAAAATTTCTCATCAAAGCCAATCCTTATTCTTTATGATCTTTTTTTCCTTCCCCTTTAGGCTCACATTTGGTTGCCAACAAAGTTATGGCAATGAAATAGAAGAAAAAGAGGAAATACCATAGTGCTTAGGTTATATATTTATAAATAAGCAATTATAAGTATTTTTAGTTTAATATATTTGCGTTTGCATTAGAAGATCTCAATCATCCCTCTTTTCAACCATCATTGCATGCTTAAATTGGAGGAACAATCCTATTAAAGAGGTACATTACATTAGTTGCGTAAACTGTATGATTAATCTAATGATTAGTATTATTAAATAATGCTTAGGATAATACTTTAAATAGTGAAAGAATTCACACACGTGTAGCTTGTGTGTGTGCGTGTGTGCTAATATTTGTAATTATTTTCAAGTGGTGCTAAAATCGGAGGATGAAATTCTTAGATCTTTTTGGTTTTTACCACTGAATGCATTTTTTTGGGGCTGCTTTTACATACATGCCACAAAATTCTTATATCTTTACAGTTTTAATTCCTAAACTTTTATGTTTACATAACATCACGTCAAAAATAACACTCTTGCTAAGTTTTTAAAAGTTAAGCACATCTTTTCATACATAGGTTTACAAAACCAAAGTGTTGTAATTGTAAATATTCAGATATGTAACTACAAAAGAATTGTGGTATGTATGTAAATTTTCCTTTGTATGAATATTACTATTTACCCTTTTTAAAGCATAAACTTTCTTTTCCTCTAAAAGAATACAAAAAAAAAGTAAGCTCTGATTTGAAATGTATCTCTCCTTATTTTGATTTTTTTCATCTTGCTGTAACTTCACACACACACACACACACACACAATTAAAAATTTACTTAAATAATTAGTAATGAGAATTTATTTCAATTCAAATTGTTTCTTTATTTCTATTATTGAGATTGGAGATGATGATGACAGTAACATGAAGTTTTTATCCCGCTAAGTGGGGTTGCTTACATTAATTCTTTTTCTCCATTGTGTCCTATTTCCTATTGAGTGCATATTCCATATTCTCATTTAATTCTAATAGATTAAGATCAATTTTTATAAAACATGCCCAAGTCTTTTTTTTTGGAAAGAATGATATAATTAAAAAAATCATAATATGCCAATTGCACCAGTTATTTAAATAGATTGGATGGTTCTGACTTGTTTTCTTTAAATATTTATTATTTTTTTAATCCATTTAAAGATTAAAAAAAATGAAAATTAGGAGAGGTAATTCATTTTGAAATGAAGCTCTTGTGGATTTTAAAAATTTAAAATGAGATTTTCTTCTTCATACTGTTTCATTTGTATGTAGATATGTGCTCGCTTTTTTCTGAAAATTATTTTATGTGTTTTTTTATTGTTATATTGAAAGTTCAGGTCTCGTTCATCAAGCGAGGAATGTTTGAAAGCTTATATGATACCTTCCAAGCCTTAGATGAGAAGGAACTTTCCGGAGCAGATGCTGTTTGTCTTGGAGAAATGATGGATGCTACCCCAGCAGTTAAATTTACCGATCCATCCTCTATAGATTGTGATTACGGTAAGAGTCCTCGAGTTTCTCATATCTGCATCTTTAATTTACAAATAATTGGGACTTGCCTGTTAAAAATTTGTTCCTATCTACTTCATTTTTATTCTCTGTATTTTCTTTCGTTGCTATGGTTACAAAATGATGTTTGCTATTTAGGTTTTCTTTGGTTGCTTATAAATAAAAAAACATGTTTTTGAAAATGTTAATTTTGTTTTTGCTCATTTTATTTGTGAAATTGAATTCTCTTCATTTGAGGGAGTTTAAGTTGTGGAGAGATCAATGTTAATTTGTAAATAAACCCAACCATATGATGGAACTAGCTAATTTTATTGTTTTAAAACTTGTTTTCCAACTTCATGCAGCCAATTAGGGTCTAAATATGCTTCAAATAATAACAACTTATGGTTAGTGTCAAAATCTAATAATTGAGATTAAATAGCCACATGAAAGAATGAAATTTATATGTTCTCATGCTAATTTTATTTGAGATTTTATTTTATTTTGTTTTCAATCACAACATATCTTGGTTAGCGTCACGATTTCCTTGAAATGTGAGTACTCGTTACCCTTGGCATAGGTTGACTGAATATCTTGGCTCACGATGCCACCTCCACTAGTCATCATGAGATGTAATACAAATAGGTGTGATTCAACCAACTTAATATCTTTCTAACACACATTCTGATATCCTAATTTAAAATAGAGTTAGAGCTATTATAATGCCTAAAAGTTAGGGTATATTTCAATATCAGTTGACACTGTTTTATTAGATTCAGGTGGATCACATAACTTCATTTCTGATGAGTTTGCTGCTAGCCTATTTATAGATTTTATGCATTTTACTTCTGTCTAATGTGTTATTATGCCTTTTAGAAGTAGCTTTTATGTTTTCTGCATGTTTGTATCTCTGATAGAAAGTTGACAACATAATTAATTATCATATAAATTCAAATTTTTGATGTCATATTAAAAATGAATGGGTTAGTAAAGCATTTTGCTATAATTGATTGCTGGAAGAAGCAGGTGAAATTTAATTTCTCTGGTGAGAAGTCATTTTATTTTTCCTGTGATAGAAATGCACAATCTTCTTTAATTTGTGTAGTGAAAGTTAAAAAGTACTTGTGAAGATGGCGAGAGCTTATCGAAGTTTACGATCTGGATATACAGTATTGTTCTAGCAGAACAAATGTAGTGCATACTGGATAATTACTTGGGTGCTATAATTTATTAAAATAATTGATGCCTTGTAGTTGGAAGTTAGATGACTAGGTGATATGAGATATTTACATTAGTTAATGGTGCACCCAACTTTAATAGGTATAATTAAAGAAATCCAGAAAGTTAACAATGAATATTTGAAATTCCTAAAACAACTGCAATCAAGAAAGAGGTTTGATATAATTGTTGATGAAAATAGTGTTATTAGAAACATGTTATAGTTGTGGGTACTAGTTGATTCTGATTTAAGATAAAAAATCCTACATTAGGCTCATCATTCAAGGTACAAAATATATCTAGACATAACTAAAATGTACATAGATTTGAAGTTGATGTTCTGGTGGCTAGGTACGAAGATGACTATTGCTGAATAGACATCTAAATGTCGAGCTTATTAAATTGTAAAGGCTGAGTATGAAAGATCCAACAGATTACTATAGACATTGCTACATCTAAATGAAAATGAGAAGAAAAAGCAATGTATTTTATTATGGGATTTTTTCGATTTTGGTAGGGTCACGATAGTATTTGGGTCATTATTGACAAAATGACAAAATTATCTCATTTCTTGCCAATCAGACAAACAGATTCAATTGAAAAGCTGACCAAATTATGTGTATAAAAATTACCATATTAAACGAAATTTCAAAAGTTATCATTTCTGACAAAGATGAAAGATTCACGTTCAGGTTGTGGAAAGATATTCAACAGGGCTTCTGTACATATCTCATTTTAGCACATCTCATCCACAAACTGACGGATAATAAAAAAATGACAATTCAGGTGTTAGAAGATATGTTGAAGCCTTGTGTGTCTTTGACTTTAGATGCAGTTGGAAAGATCACATCTTGATGACCTAGTTCGCTTACAATAATAGCTATCAATTAAGTATTAAAATAGCTCTTTTTCAAGCATTGTATGTAAATGCATAATTCCATTAAATTTGGTTTTAGTGGGTGAACATCAAATGTTGGGTTTTGAATTAGTTGATAGAGTAACAAAGTTAGATTAATCAGGGATAGATTGAAAGTTGCTCAAGATCAACAATAAAAATATTATGACCCAAAGCCTAAAGTGGTAGAAATTGAAATTGCTGATTTTGTATTTTTAAAAGTAAAATTACAATTAGATTTGGTTAGTGATGTAAGTTGAGTCCCAAGTACATCAGTCTTTTTGAAATTATGGAGAGGATTTGTCCATTTACCTACATACCACCTTTACTTACTGATATGTCAGATATTCATGATGTGTTTTACATCTCAATACTAGGAAAACGAGTTTCAAATTCAGACCAGAGGATTTCATATGATGACATTGATGCGCATAAAAAATTAACTTATATTGAAAAGCTTGAGAAAATTTTGGTGATCTGTTGGATTAAATTTTGGTGCGCATAAAATTTTGAGAAATTAATTTTGGTGCATCTGTTGGATTAAATTTTGGTGCACCATTAAATTTTGAGAAATTAATTTTGGTGATCTGTTGGATTAAATTTTGGTGCACCATTAAATTTTGGTGCGCATAAAAAATTAACTTATATTAAGAAATTGAGAACAGACGAATTCCTTTTGTCAAGATAGAGTGAAAACATAAACTGGAAAAAGAAGATACATGAGAAAAAGAAGAAATGCAACAAAAGTTTATCTTTTCAATCAAGTAAATTCAGAATTTCAAGGACAAAAAATTTACAAGTAGGAGAGTATTGTAATACCTAAATTTTGGCAAATTTAGGTTATATTTGATAATTTTAAAATGTATCCAAATTTTCGCACTCCTCAAAATCCAACTGAACCAGTTTTATAAAATTGTACATCTTAAATTGTTCAATTTGATATATAACATTATGCATGAATTGTAAGTAGATGAGAATATGTGAAATTTCGATATAAATACTTAATTATTACCTTCATTCAACCTAATTAATCTTCCTAACCTCACAGTCGTACCGTAGAAATCTCGTAGCCACACCTTACTCGGTGTGCAATAGCTGGATCCAATTATATGGTTGAGATTTATTTGAACCACATTATTTGTCACATTGCATTTCTTATTTCCCATGCAATTTCAATGCTGTGGCACAAAGGGGCGATCGACAAAATAGGGAGCTAAAACTTAGGATTCGGGGTTCCATGAAGAAAATGAAAGATATGAAATCCTCTTTCACACTAATTGGAACATTCCTTCCCTTTTCTACATTTTCGTTTTGACGTTTTCTACGAATCAGTGCACTTTTTCATCTCTGGTTACTATAGCTGGAGACGAACAAAAACTAAAAACTTGGTTTGTGGGCTTACGTACGGGTCATTAGCAAAAAATCCACGAATTAAAGGAAATATGGGAGGTTAGAGGGGAGAAAGAGGATTTGAAGTAATTTGTAGGGAGAATTCATGTGGGACAACCCTTTCAATGTAAGTTAAAGCAAGAAAATCATATTTGAGATTAAGTTAAAATCTCAATTACAAATTTCATAAATTTATAAGGCATTTCGTATTCCAGGCTGTTTACACTAGACAGTCAGCTCGAGGAGAGCTTGTCAAAACTCATTATAGGGCTGCTCCGTCGATTCTGGTGAAATAATTCTGTGCTAATGTAGGAAAAATAATTCTATATAGTTTTTCATGTGATTATATTCGACACATGCATTTAGAATTTCTGCATGTTGTGAATGAATACTTACATAGTTTGTATGAATGTAAATTTGATTCTTCCCTTACAATACCTATGATTCTACTATGCTATGAATTTGAAAAATATGTTTATAAAATCATTGCTTGCAGATATCTGTTTATTCTGATTCTTGCATATGATATGTAAAATACCCATGATGAATGTTTTTTATAGGAATTATGATTTAAGAAATGTCACAAGTGATGTTATAGGCTGATCATTACATGAATATTTATAAGTATAGATGAAGAGAACCATGAGATTCTTGACTTTTGGTATTTAGACGGAGACGAAACTTTGAGAATCGTTGAGATCAGACAAAAATGGAAAGTAGGGAACCGTTGGTGCAGGAGTGCTATTGATAACTGCTATGTTGGGGGGAAATCTTTATCAATAGTTAATGTAGCTTTTGGGCTGGGTGACGACCCAATTACATGGCATGACATCACATGAAAATAGTTGAGACCTATACAATTGCAAGTGATATGTTTTTGATTAGATTGATGACTCTTATGAATATACTTGTAATTACACATGTATGGATGAAACAATTGTTTTATACCACAATTATAATTCCCTGCATTACATGCATTTTTTTTGCATATTTTATAGAATTATAACATGTTGTGAGATTTCTTATGAACATATATATGAGTTACGTATGAGTATATATATATTTTTTTGTTTATAAAATGATATTTTAATATTGATTATTTTGTTGAGCTTTTTCTGGCCCACTCTATGTTGACTTCAGGAAGGGGTAAGTAGCACTAGGGCGAGTAGCCATGTGTGACATGTGCAATTTTTGCATTTCATACTTTTGAGAGATTGTACAGACTTTTGAGTACGTATTTTTATCATATTGAACTTAAGAGCTCTATGTATAAATATATTTTGGTGATTAGATTTTTACGTTTTCTAGTATATTTGAATGTGATTTACTTATGAAATGAAATGTTTTAAGGACGTTTGTGACGATTTATTTATACTAGTTCTTCAGTCATTGTGTCCTAATCCTTTAAGTCAGGACTAGTGCGAGTTAGAATTTAATATGATCGAATCGTTCGCCTTAAGGCGAGCCGGTTGTGGTGTGACAACTATGTTCAATCACTGAAATGCACCCG